CCGTGCTGCGGGTGCTGCCCCGGCGGCTGCGGCCGTTCGCAGTACACTCACGCTTTCTTCAGGTCCAGACATGCACACACAGCCTTCTTGTGATTCAGAAAAAGCATGCATACAATTTTTGTATCTACCATATATATAACTATACAATATATAATAATATATTAATAATAGATGAATGTAAATTGATATATATATATATATTAAAATGTGCCATCCTAGGGAGAAGATGGGAACAAGAACAGCAGAGGTGTTTGTAGGTAGCTTGTAGCATCTTGCAGGAATTCACTTACAGTAAAAGACCATTTATTGCTTTGTATTTATATGCATTTAAGATAGTTTGGGCTGAGGAAGGAGAAGAATCTCTTAGCAGTTACTCTTTGCTTGAGGCCTGCAGAGAGGACATTGCCCATCAGTGTTTTCAAGCCCAGCCAGTGAAATGGGCGCATTGGGGCTTGTAAGCAGCTTGCTGTTCCTCTCCCCTCCTTTGTGTGTGTACAAGGGGCCTCTGTGCTGGAGAAAAAAAACTCCAAGCAATAAAAGCACATTACAATCAAATTATTACAATTTATCTGCCCACTTGCGTTATTCAATACACTGTAAATCCAAGTGGGTAAAAAGCTGTGATAACAAAAGTGATGCACACCCTCACTGCTGGTACCTGCTGCCTCCGAAGATGCCTTTGTTCGCTGTAGCCGTAGTTTCAGTTCTACCTGTATTTATCATCTGCTGAGTATGTGTGATCCAAACTGTACTTGTGTGTATTTGTTGACCCTGAAGTCTCACAGATTTCATTTTCTTAATTTGCAGCTTTGTGCCTGAGTCTCCGTCCTCAGAAAATGACGGCATTTCGAGGAGAAAGCAGCCTCCAAATAGCCACCCGTCCTCCCTGTCCTCTCAGACGGAACCTGCCTCCCTGGTTGATCACCATGACTTCTCCAAAGACCAAAGGAGCACAAGTTTGGACCGTTCCAGCACTGACATGGACTCCACTGACGGGACCGATTTACCTCCTCCGGGAGACACCTACCCTGATGAACAGACCACTGATTTCTCTTTCATTGATGTAAGTTACCGCAGTGGGAGACAGAAGTTCTCCTTCTGTGTTAACTACACATTGTCTGTGTTAATCACCGCAAAGTGGTGTCTTCTGGAAACTTTGCACTCGATCTTCCTCAGCCTTTCCTTTATCACACTGAATTTTCCCAGCTGACTTCCTGCCTGGAAGTTTAAGATCAAAGCTACAAAGTTCTAGTTCCTGTAATGCTTCAGGTTCTGAGAGATTCCGAAAAGCTATTTGCCTTGGATAATGTCTGCCAGTGGCTTAATAAAATTGCTGCTTCTCTTTCTGCTTGCCAGTGAGCTGTAACAGAAGAGTTAAATGGCTCTATGAACACTGGAAACATAATTAAATAACACAAATAGCTAGGGACTGCTGTGCTATGAGCCATGCAGATTGAAGCCTATAAAGACATTTACTAATATTTTTCTTATTTACAATTGATCTCTTTCTGTAGTAGCGTACAATTGTATTGTAAAGGATTTTTTTCATACTTAAGAACCTTGCAGTAGTGTAAGAACGGTAATTTCTGGCCGTATGCATTTCGATGAGGTGCAGTGTTCTTTGAAAGCACCAACACAACTGCAGGTTTTCAGCAGAGCATCTCAGCAGTACTGCTTTTTCTTTAGGAAGAGCTGGTGTGCTTTTTTTTCATTATAACAATATCTAATGGCAGATACACTGGTAAGGGCCAGATTCCCAACTGAAGTGTCTCATGCAGCTGCTGGGAGGGTCTCAGCCGTGCTGCCGTGCCTGCCACAGTGCCGTAGCACCCTCCGAACTGACGAGTCGAGTGCTCGGTGAGGCGGGGAAGGATGCAGGCAGGTTTGTGATGGCGGCAGCCTGGTCTGGTGCAGCAGAATTGGCTGGTAAACCCCCAGCTGCGTCCTGCGCCAGCCAGCTCTGTTCTCCAGGGGTGTTCCTGACTATGGGAACCCCAGAAACCCGTGCTTTGCCAAAGCAGGTGCTGCTCTCGCCCTCCAGCCCCTGCTGGCTCTGAAGCAGAGGCAGCGGGTGGTGGTCCATTGCTCTGAGGTCCCCAGCTGCCTGTGCCTTGGCCTCGCTGTCGTTAATAATCCCTTGGCAGGATATCCCAGGTGCACTTTGTGCTCTGTAAAGGAGACATTAGCAGCCCAGAGCAGGTGGCACCTTGTCTGTGTCTCCCAGGGGTTCTGCAGGCAGTGGAGCTGGTCCTGTGCTGTTCCCTGCACAGCTCGAGGTGTCTGTAAAACATGGATAGCTTCCAGTACCGCTGGCAACGCGCTGTTTTAATGAGGAGTTTATTCCTGACCCAAAATCTCTTGAAAATAAATAAAAACACATCTGAAGAAGAGGAGGAGGCTCATTGATGTTTACTGATAACAGGGAGGTCTCTAACAACAAATTGCTTTAAATAAATAAATCAATGACAGCTCCTTCTTCGCTCTGTAAATGCTACTGTCTTACCGCCGTGCCCAGGGATGGATGAAGTGACTGGTCACAGAAATTTTCTGAATGCCGTGACACTTCACTTGCAGTCTCCTTGTTGCTGGTGAGCGGCTGGAGGTTCCCGTGGGTGGCAGCCCGTTAGAACAGTGAAATGACAACACTCTCCTGCCAGAGAATTTGGTGTAGTTGCTCTTTTAGATCCCAGTCTTCTTGTTGGCCTTCAGCCGTTACTAGCTAGCAAGGCTGGAATTCTTAAAACACTCTAGGAACCAAAATCCTATTTATTTGGGTTATTTTTTAAATTAATTTAGTAAAAATAATTAATGCAGATCAGACATCCACAGCCAAGAGAGATCAAAGGACCAGCATTGCACCCAGTTAGCCACAACATAGCATATCCTCATCATAAATTCTCTTTAATATGGTTTTAGGTAACTACAAGAATAACAGTCAGGCAAATGCATATAGTTCAATTAAACGGAATGGGTTAATGCGTTAAAGTAGGTTGGGAAATCATTATGGACATGACTTGTATTCTCAGGCTGGTTGAAAGTAAAGGCTTTGTTTCTCTTTATAGCAAACCACCATTCTGGACTCCAGTGCGCTGAAAACCCGCGTGCAGCTCAGCAAAAAGAGGCGCCGGCGGGCTCCTATTTCCCACTCGCTTAGAAGAAGCAGAGGGCTGGAGTTTGAAAGCAGATTTTCTTTGACGGAAGAACCAGATAATACCTGGATGTTCAAAGATTCCACAGGTATCCCTCAACTGTCTGAAATAATTAACCGTAAACAACTTGGCTGCAAGGGCAGGAATTTCTAAGTGGTGTAACGTACCCGAAACAGCATCAGGGTTTAACAGCAGCTTCCTTCTCCCACCTCTGGGTCATCCTCTAAACGAAGCCGTCTTCATTCCTCGGAGCCTTTGGAGTGAGGGCAGCAGCAGTAGCCAGACCTATAGAAGACCAAGGCGAAGGAGAGCTTCGATGCAATTTCCTTTAACTTCTGGCTGCTGACTTTGGAGAATTTTGTTCACTGAGAAAATACTGAGTTTAGAACGCAAGGGACAGATGAAAAGCTTGCTGACCAATGTTTTTTTCCCCCCTCTGCTTTTTTTTTTTTAAACAATTAGAAGAGAAGAAAACTATGCAACAGGAAGATTCTGATGAGGAAGACAAGATCCAGCATATTGCGAGATCATCTTCTGTACACGCTCAGAGACTTCCCGTATTTCCCGGAATGGACCACGCTGTTCTCAAGGTGAACACAGAACACATCAGATGGGAGTTAGACCAGTCCGGGAAAGAGAACAGGAATAGAGAAATCTAGGAACTGGGAAGTTTTGCTGAAGGTGACAATGTTCTTTGCAAGGGGTGGGTGTGATGTGTAGAAAATCCTTGCCGTTAGCTTTCTCACCGTTACCTGTTGGCTAGAAATATTAAGTAATTTGGAAAAAAAAATAGCTTTGTGGTAGTAAACACGCTTTCAAAACTGCATGGATTTATAAGGAGTCAGCTGATTGCACCATGGATTCTTTTGTTTTCATAAATCTGAGTTACTTGGTTTGCATTCCCAAAAAAGTCTGAATGCTGCCTTAAAAAGGAGCTCTCTTATTTTTGTTTTTTAGGCCCAACTGAGGAAAAGACAGGAGTCTGAGAGTCCTGGTGAAGTAAGTTCTGCTCAGCTGTTCAAATCCCCTAAACCACCACTGCAGCTTGGAGCTCCAGGGAGCAGACTGCTGCCCTCCAGTGTAGAGAAGGAGGACAGGTGAGAGGCTTCCACCAGCGTCCGAAAAACGCTGGTACCTGCTTTGCTGGGAAAAAAAAATAATGCCAGTAGGCTTCCTAAGGCTGCAGGGGAATTTGTGTATTTCTTTTTTGTTTTGTTTCTGTAATGAGTTTTTAAAGAATAAAGAGTATTATTTTTTCTAATATCTTAGGTCAGAGGAAAAGTCTCCTCAGTGGCTGAAGGAGCTGAAATCCAAGAAGAGACAGAGCCATTATGAGGATCAGGTTTGAGAAGGTGCCTTCCGACAGCAGGAGGGGCTTTGCTGCGGGACGGGGTGTGGTGGTACACACGCACAGGGCAGGGGTTTGCTCCGCGTGCCGGCTCTGGGAGCACAGCCGTTAGAGCAGGCTGACCGCCAAGTGTGCGCCCGAGGCAGAGCAGTTCTCACGGGGTGGATTTTCCTCCGCCGCTGATACAGTTTCCCTGGTTCTCTGCAGATAATTTCATTTACCACCACTCGTTCTGCCTGGGCTGCATTTCACAGTGCTTCCATCAGGCAGGAGCGAGCCTGGCGCTGAATAGCTGAGGCTTGCACGCATTGTGGAAACCGTGGTGCGTGGTGTTCCAGCAGTGTTCTGGGCAGCTCCTGGCCCTTTAGCACATTAAATAGGGTGAGAGGAAGATGACCCCACACCAGCAATATGCATGTGGGGGCTTTCCTGGGACAGACACCGAGAAGGGGCTGGCTGCCTGCTCGGCCATGTCGTGCTGCTACTTCAGTTACTTCTGTTTTTTCTTTCCAGATTGTGATTGTAACTAGAAGAAGATAAAGAAGTTTAACAGAAGCCTTAACTCATCCGAACCTAAAATTCACATGTCATGTTGCTGCTGTTCGCTTCCTGCCTCAACCGCTATGTGCATGGTGCCTTCCTGTTTTGTGGAGAAAGCTGCTTCATGTTCATAGTCAAATACAAAGCTGGATCGCTACGGATGTGGGAGGATAGTCACCCGAGACCTGCCTGGGAGAAGTGGTTAGCACTTCAGAGGCTCCCGAAAGATTGTGATGTTTGGTGTAGGAGTGCTGTGCACCGAACAAAGACTGCACCGCTGCCTGGGTGCTCAGCAGCTCGGAGTACGACTCTGGGTAGGCAAGTCAGGTGTAAGGCTGGGCTTTGTGTTTGTTTATGAAAATAAAAATTGTAATCAAGTTTATCTTTTTTTTTTGTGAAAAAATAGTAAGCTCCTATTTGGAATGAAGTTTGTGGAAGGTGAGAGTGAACGAACAAATTATGTTTACTGCCATATTGAAAAAGGAAACTTGATTATTTTTTGTAAAATGTATTTTTGATTGGCTTCTATTTACATGTGATCTGCTGACCTAGCAGATGAATATAATTTTTAGATGAACAAAATGTTAACTTTTGTCACTCTTGAAATGGTGTATTCTGTGTTTTGTCAGCATCTGGGATAATTGCTTCATTGGAATGTCTTTCCTAAAAAGGATCAAGCAATAATGTCAACCAGTTCTCTTAAAGGCAAAAATATGTAAATACTGTTTTTATAACAAAAAAGGAAGGGAAGAGGGAGGACGTTACACTCATATCAGGGTTCCAGTTAATTGTTGAATGTCACTTTAATAGCAGTTTGGATAGTCCCACTTCATATTTTTATTTGTTAATCTGTAAATACCAGGTTTAAGTTTTTATTTTTATGCTGATTTTGTGGGATAACCTAAATGTGATCTTCAGTTTCTCAGATGATTTACTTTTATTCTTTTGGTAAGACTGATGTTACAATAGCGGTGTAGATCTCTCATGTGTAACACGGGTGTGATGACTATCACTAATCTCTCAAGTATGTTAATACCTTTGAATACAGATTCTGAAATACCAACCAGGGTGTCCATTTAAGACATACTTTATTCTTTCCCCAAATAAGTGCTCTTTTCTGTAATCCTTTAAAAATGTAGCCCAGCGAGGGAGGTTCTTCTGTCGTGTCAGTATTCCTCTCGACTCGAGAGTGAGCAGCAGCATGGCAGGATGGAGCGAGAGCGGAGCTGTCTGCTGCTCCCTGCGGTGCACTTCCCGTGTCCTGCTGATGGGCTTCTCTAGATATTAAAGCACCAGCACTTGAACTCCCTTTTCCTCTTTTTTTTTTTTTTTTTTTTTTTACGATCAGCATTTCCGAAAGCTTGATGTACGTGGGGTTACCACGATGGTGCATCCGCTTGCCCGAGCGGCATGCCTGGTCTGCTGTCTGTCAGGCTCGTAGCTGCCAAAACCATGTGCCAACTCTGCTCTTGGAGGAGTCACAGAGGAGGTGATTTTTAGTCCAAGTCGGCTCGTAGGAAACAACAGCAGGATGGCAGGAGACAAGTCCCATATGCGCATCTCTCTCCCAGATTTAGTTCCGACAGCAGCTCCCTCTACTTAATGGAGATGAAATGTTTCAATTATGTAAAAAATCTCCCCTTGCTGCTTTGCCCTGTTTCACACCAGAGCTGTTGCCGCTGTTACAGTTTTACAGCCCCTTCTGCTACCACTTAGGAATCGATCACCCCAGATTTCTGCCAAGCGTTTCACCCCATCCGGCTTTTAACCTGGGCGGTGGGAGATGGACTTCACGTGAGTGCAGCCGACTGTTCGAGAGCTCCTCTCGGCTACTTTTCAAATGTTGCACATATTTTCATCTTCCCTTTTCTTTAGATGATGGTGGAAGAGGCAAGGCTGTAAGATCAGCTTTGCACATGTGTCTGTTGGGATATTTTTTCCCCAGCAGCACACGAGGTGTGCCGTGGTTGCACTTCGGCCAGCCCCGAGCAGCAGCGGCTGGAGGTGGGAGAGAACAGCAATGGCTTTTCTCACCGTCACCAGGTGAAGTGGGGCTTACATTAAACCCTGTCTAGAGATCAGGTGAATTCCCCTGCTTACGAGAATATTTACACAGGCTTGGCTTTGGGATCCAGCAGGCTGACGGTGGTGTGTTACCGACCGTTGGAGGATTTACTGGTTCTTGGTCTAATGAACAAAAGCCAGAAATTCTGTGGCTGCGGTGTCTGCTGGGTGCAGGAGGGAGCCGAGGGGATTCGTGCCAGGTTTCCCCAAAGCCCTTGGGGTGTGTAAGCATTTCCACACCTGCCTGGACAATGCACTGAAACTTACTGTACGGAGTAGTTTAATCTACTACTGAGAAATGTTTAATGCTTACGTGTCTAATTAAAAAGCATCTTTAGAATGTTGTTGAATGGGAAAGTGTTTTTTCTGCTCTGTCATTTCTTCACATTGTACATGGATTCAATCTCACCTTCCTTCTCTTCAGGTGATAACTGTAATAAAAGATATTATAAATATGTTATTACTTCTGAGATGATAGAGCATACTGTAATACACGTTGTATCATTCTATTTTAATTCCAAATAATGCTGCTTTGAATTCTTTTATGCTTTTACTTTTGTTGCCACATAGGTTTTTGCTGTTAATCCGAGACAGGAGTGAGCTCTGAGCTTCAGCTCCCAGTTCAGGTGTGGTTTCCACTGGTGACTGGAACCCGCCCTAGAGCAGGGGCCAGCCAGGGTCTGAGATCCTGGTGCTCCCTGGGGAGTGCAGTGCCCTCCTCCCTTCTGCTCCCGCTGCCCGGCCCTTTTCCATTGCCTAAAAAGCTACATCTACACCAGGGATGGTTTGGTGTTTTTGTTTTTTGACTACGTGGTTTGTGGAACCTAGAGATGCTGCCTCTCTGATGGCACTTTTCTCTCGTTATTACTGGAAATCCTCCCTCTGTTTTATTGTGCCAGTTGGGCAGTTACACAGCCCTTCTCTTTATTGGGATCCCCAGTTGTGGATTGCTTCCTTCTTATTTTCCTGCTTGCAAATTCACCTTTTTAAAGTCTGCATAGCTTTGAGGAGCTGCTCAGAGCCTTGCTGCTGTGGTTTTGGTTCCTGCAGAGAAAGAGGCGATGTCTGTTCGTCAGCCTTTGCAGCCTGA